TTCTTGCTGCTAAAGATTTTGGGATGAAAGTGTGATTAAGTTCTTAAATTTTTTTTTTTTTTTTAGTTATACTGATTGGGTCTCACTGCTACAATGTTTGAGACCTTACAAGTAAGAAAAAACCAGCAGTACTCTTTGCCCTTAGCTGTTTCTTTTGAATTGTTTCAGAAAATGCAGTGAATCTGCTATGTTTAATCTTGGACAAAATGGCATTTGTTGGGCCAGAGCTCTGACGTATTTACAATCCAAATAAGGGAGAATAAGGGTCTAAAATCCTGCGGGGAGGCAGCTTTTGTGAGTTGATTTTTCAAATGCTGTATTCATAACTCAGCGGTTACGTGTGTGAGGGCTCCAAGACGTAAGGTTTGGCAAAGAGCTTCATGCAAAGATCAAACAATGGGAAAGAGGAGGGGAGGGGAGAGGACATGTGACTGTGAGTAACCAAAATGGGTAGTTAGCCAAAGTTCAGATGATATTGCACAAAAAATGACAGGATACAAACATATTGGCTCCTGGAGATGAATGCAACAAGGAAACTAAATGGTGTGCATGGTGTGTAATAAGGAATGTTTAGATGTTGAAGGCTTGTCCTTGCTTCTCATCTAAGTAGTAAAATGTATTGAATTTCAGTGCGCTTGTAGTGAAGCACCTAGCGTCGGAGCACTTGCTGTAGCACAAAGCGATAGCAATAAATGATGCTGAAGTGGAAGCCTCTCATCTTATTTGCTCTGCTATTTTAGGATGGAGGTAGCATCTGTAAGAAAGTGATATAAGCAGTGCAACACATCTTGTTTTACAAAGCAGAAGTGAGAAAGCCTGATACAGGCAGCTTTAAAATGGGGGGGCAGAGGATGAGAGGGAGAAGGGCACTGCATTCAGCCCTGAAATCCCTGTCCACGGGAGTAGGCAGAAACTTTGTCATTAGCTAGCAGGGCCAGGATTTTACTGTATCTCTAATGGTCATACAGGGAAGAAGGTTTGGGAGCAGGTTTTGAATAGTGCTGGTTTTAATGCAGCTGTTACTTTATGGCCTGGTATCCATTTTGTAGGGATTGAATTCTTCTTTTCACTTAAAGAATTTTCACTCTGAAGAGGGAAGCATCCCTCAAGTCTGCAGAAGACACAGATCAAAGTCATATTAAAATGTGGTCTTGTGCATACGGTTCGTGTTTGCCAGAAATGTAGTTTATTCTCAACAGATTCAACATTTAGGGTTTGTTTGTTAGATTTAAGTGTTAGTCTTTTGTCTTCCTCTAAGATACAGCAGTCAAAGATACACAAAAACAGATACACAAAAGATACAGCAGTCTTAAGATACAGCAAAACAGAAATATTATATGGATCCATTCAATGTGCCAGGTTGAAGGATTGGAAGAGAAGGAAAACAGATGGAATTCCCCCCAACTTCTTCCTTAGCCAGCTCCAGGGATGAAGAAGCAAAGGGACAGACTGTGCTGCCTCCAGCCCCACAGAGTCCCAGCTCCAAAAGGCCTGTGATCGCCACGATGGCAGACAGCATCGCCTTGACAAGCTGTTTGTTGTGGCCCTAGAAGCGAGAACTGTTTTTCTTCTTGCTCGTTAGGCACCGTCAGGCTGAACACGCTCATAAATTTGACCTCAGTATGACTGTTGGATTATCCTCTTGCTTTTTTCCAGGGTGAGCTACTTTATGGTGGAAGGGAAACTTTTCCTTTATCATTTGTTTTAAGTATTGATAAATAAAGAACAGTCTCTGTGATGAGTATTGATTTCAGTTGAGTTTGGACACTTTGTTATTCTGGTGCCTTAAATTACCAAGCCTCTAACAGTCAGCTTCCTAATATAGTGGGCAGTTTGTCAGCATCCCACCAGGGCTTGTTCCCACGTGCTCGGGTGGCATTTGCAATACCCAGGAGTTCAAGGTGATGGGAAGCACCCTGCCTCTTTCAAAAGCTCTATTATTAGTATTGCTGTTATTTGTAAAAACAAACAACCTCTTCACACTCCCATTACCAGTAACAAAAGCCACAAAGTAGATACAAAGTAGATAATAAACCCCAAAGTATATAAATATATAAAATAAACCCAAAAATATATGAAGTGGATAATAGTGAGATCACTAGAACTTAGAGAGAATGGCTTTATTTGCTTTCTGACTTATTTGCATTTTTCTGTGACATGGTGAGTGTTCAGACTTTTGCATAGTTTCTGGGAGGAGGCGTTGTTTTTAAGCACAGAAGAATTGAGTTGTAAAGCCTCAAATCAGCAAGGCGTGCTTTCAAACTGGAATTGACCCTTGCCTTTGTAAAAGCAATTTTAAATGTCTTGGCAGGCAGGAGATGGTGAGTAGGCAGAAATATTTTGCCAGCTCCAGGTAATTTACTTGGCGTATTCTGAGCTACCTGCAGGCAGCAAATCACATTGTGAAATTAGGCGGGGGGGGAAATATGTTTTTGCTGAGTGTTTCAAGTGTTTGTTAGCTAAATGTTATGTGGCTTTAATTTTTTTTATATATGAAGTTTTAGTAATGTGTTTTTGCTAGCATTCAGCAGTCAAAGGTGCAAATTCATTAACAGCATGTGCACTCTTGACTGCTTTTGTTCTCTTGGGCACTACTTTTTGGGAGGCTGGGCTGTGTCCTTCTGCCATTGAGGCAGGTTTTATGTTGTCTTCTCCCTGCTGGGCTCCCTGACTTCACAGTACGTGCATGTACAGTCTGTACGTCTACACTGTGCCCATCTTCAAGAATTACTAGTCTTTTTAAGCAGCTCAACGACTGCATGTGTATGGTAAGTTTGCCTTCAGCTTGCTCCTTGAAGGCTGTCCAAAAAAAATGGATGGGAGTAGACTGCTGCCTGCAGATTAAGCCCCAGATTTGCTCTGGAGAGGCCGTGGGAAAGACGACTACTGGGAGCAGAGCATGGCCTGGGTGAATTATCGCTGTGGACAGCAGATGATGTATGGGCTGGCAGTTGGGGCACCAGCATCAAAGCACGTTCTCTTGGCAGCAGGTTTTTGTCAGGATGGTCTCTTGCAGACTTGCATCACTGGATAGGAACACTCGTTCCAGAGGATTTTTGGAGGCTGGTGCCTGGCTTGTAAAATTCCAACAGGCAGTCCATTACAACTACAATTTGCTCTTTCGCATGCTGGCTTTCATTAAAATTCTTGCAGAAGGAGAAGCTGGTGTTGGTAGAAAGGAGGAGAGTGACAACATGTTTCTCTTGGCAGTGGTGCTAGGTGTTCCTGCTCAAAGTAATTGCTGAGCTGGGATGCAAATAAAAACTGCCAGGTGTCTGATGTTCGCTGCGCAGCCAGAAGGATTTCAGTGGCACTGCGGGGCCTGGGAAAGGAGTAGGGGGTGACAGCCGAGGCCTTAGCACCTCCTGGGGTTTCACAGGGCAGTGACACTGAGCAGTGCCCAGTGGAATGTAGGAAAGCCAGCTGAAATGACGCCCTTCGGTGGCTTTTGTGCTAGTCTCAGCTGCAGGCATCTCTCCTGTTTGATTTTGAGTTTGCAGCTAGAAAGTCAGATGTTTTTTTTTTCTCCTCTCCAGGTCCGTGATAGCAATGGTGGATGTTAGTGCTACACCATGGACGTATTGAATGGCCAAAAACGGTTCACTATGTTTGCAATTTCAGGAATTTGAGGTTTCAGAAACCTCTGAAATTAAAACAGAGCTACAACAGAGTTGTTTTTTTTTTTCCCCCTTGAAATTGCCATCCCAGCACCAGTGGTTATTCTGGAGGACAGAGGCTGCCATTTGCCGTCCTAGCTCGTGAGCCCTGTATGCTTATGCATGGGAAGATTGGATTTTGCTGTAGCAGATGCTTTAGGAGGGTTGCTTGGCTCTAGTCTCTACTCTAGTGGCTGTTGTCTGTGCGTCGTACTGTGCTTACAGGGCACTGATGGATAGGAGAGAGGTTGCCCTGTTCAGAAATCAGTAATCTAGGGGTGTGTATGATGTACGTTGGTGGAGGCTGGGCAGAGTACATGATGATAACAGTCCTGTTTAATTTTCCTATCTACTTTATTATACGGGGCCAGTCTATAGGTCTAAAGGTGTTTCATGGGGTTGCTCTGGGAGTGTAAGGAAGCGAGGTGCTTGGATTTATCATTCTTTGTAGCGTTTTCTTTGCTGTGTGAGTATCTGCATACTTCATCAGCGCACTTCCCTGTGTATCTCTTGGTCCGTCTCTCTTTCCTCAGACGTGTTCCTCAGTCCTGTCATTTTTTGTGTAGCAGTTTTAGGTACTGTGCTCACAAATGCTTTAAGCTGGTACGTTTGGAATAAGCAGTTCTGTGCGTGCATCCTGGCATTCTTTGTGCCACCATATGTGCTTGTGTGGCTGTCTGGTCAGCTGGCTCGGGGCACTGCTCGGGGTTGAAACTAACAGCTTTTTTGCATGTTGGAGGATCACTTCCACTAACGGTTCGCTGTGCGGCTGCCTAGATTCATGGAAAGGGCTGCTTCAGACCATGAACAAGCGCTGTGGGCACGGGGAGAGGTTTCATTTGGTACCATTGTGGGTTTTTGTTGACTTAAGGTGTGTGAAATTACATGTATGTCTCCAGCAATTTGGATTTCCTGCTGCAAGGAAAGCCTTACTCTTCCTTAAAGGTTTTTTTTGTTGTCTTCTTTTTTATAGTGGTGGCAGGGTCAATTCCTTCTGCTTCTTGTCCTGTGTGGTTTTAAGGCTAGCACTGGTGCTTATGGTCAGCATTTTCGTAGACTTTCTAAAGAAAAAAAACCCTGAAAGTATTGTCGTCATAAATGCTTGATATTTTGCCAACTTCCGTAGTTTATGATTATCATCAAATTGGCGTAGTTAGTTTTTAGAATAAATTTTTTTTGTTCTTATAGCCTGTATACTGAATTGAGCCTGTATTTAATAAGTTCATTTGTTTTGCTAGCAAATTATATAAAATACAACACCGTGTACAAACCTGAATCTTGAAACTAGACTGTTGGAAATGTGTTCTCTGCTGTAGAGCTAACAGTCATCTTCTTTTACAGGGCAATCACTTTGATCAATACGAAGAAGGGCACCTGGAGATAGAGCAAGCATCTCTAGACAAGCCTATAGAATCGGTAAGATACATACTTATCAGCATCATCAACCCACCAAAAATTAGGCCGTGATCGGATGGTACTTGATGTGAATGCAGTCAAATTTGATAGGAGTGGGCATCTGTTTGTCAGTACAGGGTTAATTTTTTGTGGTAAATTGCATGCTGAGATTAAGTGGGACTGGGATTTAATCTTGAAGTAGTTCTCCTAAAACTATAGGTGAGTTTAAATTTCAGTTCAGCATGATATTTTAGAAATTACTTAAATACTGATTTTGTTAAGTTTTTATACTTTTGGTTTAAGAAGCAGTTTAATTCATGTGAGAACTTGATGGAATAGTGTAGTAAAATGTATTTTGATCCTTTTTATATTTTCGGAAAACTACTGGTGTGTTAAAAGTTAGAATGACATCTGGCAGTACGGAAACATGGATGCATTACAGTATTAGTATAGCAGTCCTTCCCCATGAATCTGAAACTGCGCTGTGAGTTTCTTTAAAGTATTGCTTTACTTTGAATTAGGTGTGGAGAGTACAGCCATAAGATAGGGAAAAATTAAGTTTTGTTTAATTTTACCTTTTTAAGCTTTTTGGAGCTTTTAAATTTTTCTCTGTGCAAAGCATCTTCTGCTAGTCTTCGGCACAATGGCTTGTTCAGCCTAAACTGGACCTAAGTTTGGCACTTAGCTTTAGCTACGCTTCATTTGCAGTTTCACTACGAGAGCAAGAAAACCTGTAGTGAATAATCGAGGGTCACTCAGTGGTGTTCTGATTAAGACTAGATTTTTGTTAAGAAAGTACTTCTCAAGTATTTCTTTTCCCTATTAATAATTTAAGTTCTCTGTTAAAGTTTCTTCACGCTAGTCTGCACTTAGAAGAAGCTTAGCGTTAGCAAAAGATCAATATGTATTTTTCATTCGTGTGTAGGTTGGTGTTGTGTGTGTTTGTGTGCGTGTTAGATGTTTACAAAAAATTTACACAACTTGGGGTGTTCGACGTTTTTCTTCCGCAGCAGTTGGCCCATATTAGCTAAGCAGCCATGATCTGGTTTGTATTGCACGGTCTGCCTTTTTTAATTTCTTCTCTAGGGTTTCCTTTCCCCCTTCTTATTTCTGTTCTTCTGGTCCAGTGAACACTGCATATAGTACCTACTGTCTTAATGTGCTGGCATGATGCTAGATTTAGGCATGGCAGTAATTGATGACGCATGAGATAATGCTGCAGAGATGGGAATTCGTATTCAATGTTCTCCTGAATACTTCAATCTTACGTTGTGATATGGGGATTTTAATTAAAATGCCAAGCTTGTTTCCTTATGTAAATACCATGAGAAATACTTGCTGGTAGCCTACTCTGTGCCACACTGGAAATTAACATTTCAAAATAATTCAAATACTACTTACAGACTAGACTGGTTATCTGATTTCTAAAAGTGTTTTCCCAAACAGAGGAATAGAAGTGGTCACGGATGACGTCTCTTTGGTGTTCTGAAGGGAGTGATGCCTACAGAAGTATGTAAAATGTGAATGACTACACTGGACCCAACAACACGGACACACAGGCTCACAGTGCAGCTTGGATCATCTGCAGATGTAATACTTCATTGCAGTTTGATTAATGTTGAACTGTGGCAGAAAAATTAAATTCAATTATGGCTTGAATATTTTATCCATATATATCACCATCCAAATATCGGGACATTATTAATCTTTACAACTTTTTGATAGGTTTTAATATGTACAGTTCAGCCTCATGGTTAAATTTGAAAACAGTTTGATGGAGAGAACAAGAGAATGGCTTGCCTCTGGGAGGAGAAGGAGTTAAAGCCTCCTATTGTTCTTACTTTAAAACCCAGTTTGCTTCACTCTTCTTTTGTCTGTAATAAGAGAAACAAGCATTTGAGGTGTAAGACCCCTAGCCTGGGACATAAAACTCTTGGAAGGAGTCACAGAACTGAGTAAATGCATGTTCTGCATTCACATCAGCAGTGGTCTGTGTCGGAGCACACTTGAGCTGGCTTCACGTGCCAGTCCCAGAATTTAAAAGCTGTGACTGCTAGATGGGGTGGTTTTTTTGGTCTTGTGAACAAGCCCCGTGTCAGAAACTGCAGTCAGAAACAAACCGGTCACTTTTAAGGTTAATTTTCACATCATCTTCATTAAGTACATTGTTGATTCGTAGAAGAAAATCTGTAGCTGGGAAGCATAAGTAATTTTGTCAAGTTTCCTGACACCTGTGAAAATGATTTTGCTTCTACACTATTAATGACCTGTGTGCTTTTTAAATTGGCAAATTACACACGTTAAAAGAAGGAACGGTTTTCTTGTCAAGAGTTTAGTGGTGTACCTCTCCTGCAAGATTTTTCACTAGGAAAGAGGTGTTCGTACTGCTTTTTCTGCCTTCTTGTGTTTTATGCTGTTTGCTCACCTCGAAGTGGGTAACATCCTTGAACTGAAATTGAGAGGGAAGGAGTGAGGACAAGTATATAATTTGCAAATACCACACATCTAAATATTTGCAATATTAATGTTTATTCACAAATTGTTTTATAATCCTTAACCACTTCTCTGTTAGCAATTCAAGTGGCCTTTGAAAAGGAATCTGCTCAGGGTAATGAGTAAGAGCCTATGCTTCACATTATGGCAGTAGTTTGGATGACAAATGTCTTTGTGCGAGGAAGGGTGTTAATAACAATAGCAGATCAAAGCACTTCCCAGTTAAAAGTTTAGTTTGGTTATTCTACAGACTGAAGGGTGGATTAAGTATATTCTCTTAAACGTGCTTCTTGCAGCTTCTCACGTCGTCTTAGTAATACGAAAACGCTTTAAAGACTAAAGGTAGCTTGCGTTTGGAAATCCCAGGGGGCAGAGGGTTTCACTTGAAGTATGCATTTGACGATCACCGCTGAAGTGAGATCCATCTCTGCAGCATTATCTGTTGAGAGGTGCTGACTGTACTGCTACAGCATGCAACTCAAAGGTGGCTGGAAAAATAGGTTTGGGAGTCTACAGATCATTACAATGTTGAAACGTGTCCTCAATTAGCGTACTAGTATTTTTGTTCCTGTGGAAATCCTGCTTTGTACAGCTTGTTTAGGCCAAAGATGTCTGGACTGAAACATGCGACTATAACCAAAGTACATTTATGGAGAATAGAGCTGACGAGCTAGTGGATGTACGTAGCCTAAACGAGAAGCCAGCTATTTTCCATTACTAAATTGAAGAAAATATTTCATATCAATGGACTCTTCATAGCTGCAAATACTGATAATTTTTTCTTCCCCCCACAAGTAACATTTTGTTTTGTTCTGGTTTGAAAGATGTTGCACTTAACACTGGCTGTTCACGTCAGTGGAACCACTGGTGTCTGGTGTCCTTGAAAAATCAGAGCACGTGACCCTTTTTAAATTCAAGAAGCTGCATGCATTTGTTTTAAAATACTTTGAGTGCACTGAGTTCAGCTACTCAAATGGGAAGTCACAAAGTATTGCAGCGTTAATAGAACCCAGATTTTCTTCACGTTAATTCCTTATTTCTACTTGTTTACTGAATCTTGTTGCTGTGAATTTATGGTTTTCTTTGTCCCAGCAGTACAGATCAAGTAGGAGGGAGCAAAATATCCTTAGAGCCTACACAAGACAGCAGCCCTTTCCCCGTGCAGGCAGTATGCAGAGTGTCAGGGAGTCGAACCAAGCTGTTGCCATTGCAGGTTGGAGGCGAGACTGCGTATCACCCACTTATTCTGGAGCTTGTTAGTTTGTCCTTGTCATAACTAACAAATGTCCTTTTCCCCTCCCTCTCTTTAATTCTGCTCAGTTACACAAGGAGGTCCTTGAACTACACAAGGTTTCAGGCTTCAGTTGGTAGTTGTTTGATGATCACAGGCTGTTGTAGACGACTGTATGAGCTGAAGCTGGGTTTTGTCGCACTGTATATCTGTACAGATCTGTGGACTCCACTAGTTCCAAAGTGTAATTTGATGAGGCTGCTGATTTGACATTTAGCAGTAGCCATATGTGGACAGCGCTATAAATAATGTGCTTCTTGAAGCTGAATGGTGTAGCATTACTATTTGGCTTTTCTCTCTAGTCTTCATTGTGTCATCTGTAGTGAGCTATAGGTTTTGTTTTGGGAATCTTTTCAACTTCTTGTTTGCATGGGTTCACCCAGTAGCATCCGATCCTTGCTTATAGATTCCTCAATACACAGTCAGCACAGCTTACAATCCACTCAAGAGACGTATGGTTCCTGACGATGCCGAGAGATGAACGATGTAAACACGATACGTGGGGGGGCGTGGGGATCTTACGGAAAACCTGTATTAGGCAAAACTAATGTTTTGGTTTGAATAATGCAGCTCAATCCACCGACTGCAGATTATATCCCACATACAACATCATCAAAACCTTTCAGTTCTTGTACGCATCTTTTCATTATATGCATTTTTTTTCTATTGGCCAGGACCTGTGTCAGAAATTTGTGCTGGGGATATCCCGATCAGGAATCACGGATGCCCGTGGAAAGCAATCAAGGGCATCGTGTCAGGGCACAGGATGGGGAATTGGGGAGGCCAGTTTGAGCTGTTGGAGAAGGTCACTTTGGATGAGATTTTCCAAAGTAGCTTGGCCAACTCCTATGACCGTTTGGTGAAGTCAAGACCTTTACATTTCCTACTTTTGGAAAAGTTACGCTTCATCTGTAATGCAAAGCTCCCCATCTGTAAGTAGAAATGATCACTAATGAACAGCTCCAAAGTGGTGAGAGTAATGCTGGGAGGTGTAAATTGTTCCATCAAGAGCCTGCCGAGCTACTCTGTCCTACACTGAGCATCCCGCAATCTGGTGTCCAGCATCGTCTCCATGACCATTTGCCCAGGTGGATAGCGCTGCTGTTGTGAGTAGTTTGGATCGTAAATGAGAGCTCACTTGCTCACTCAAACACCTATTGGGAGACTTATTTTGCCTGCCTCAATGATTTTTATTGTGGCTGTTACGCAAGGAACTCCAAAACAATAGCATAAGAAAGTGAGGAGACCTGTGCCAGCTCTCTGCTGAGAAATGGGGGGATTTCCTCGTTGGGCTATTGGTGTTTTTTGTAGATCACTGCAACTCTTCCTGTAGGAAAACTGCTACATTGTCAGGATAATTTATTCAAAAGGAATGACAGTTCTTGACACCAACAGGAAGTTTGATGTAAAAAAAGACATCTCTTCTATGTGAAAGAGTCCACACTTTTACAGAACTTTCACTTAAAAGTGCAATTGAAAAAAAAGCTGCCAGCTGTTGCAGCATTTGCTGCCCCATGTCAAATTTTGGTCCTGATATCCCTGGCTACTCCCCAGGCCGCCAGGCTTTGCAGGATGGCTCTCACATGGGAGCCTAGCAAGCCTGGCCTTCAATAGTTTAATTTTTAGGGCAGCATTTAAGCTGAAGAGCAGTCCTGCCAGTCTGCCTGTGTGAGAGGTCTGCGACAGCGATTTGAAATGGAGGAAGAAGGTAGAACATGGCTAGAAATTGTCGTGAGGAGACTAATGACTAGGTCCCAGCTCAAATGTTGATATTAAACTCTTAGGGTTGCTCTCCCTATTCAGTGAAACAGAAGCAGCTCCATTTCAATTCAGTAATATTTAAAATTAGGAAGTAGTTTCACTGCTTAAGCAAACAAATGGAAGCGATCGGGGATGGGGTGGGGGGGACCACCCCCTTCCTGGGAACCAAGACAGGATAATACTCAGGCATAATTCCAATTTATGTCAAACAACTTGTGACCATCCTCTTGAGTGGTTTTGTAAAAGTGGTGCTAATGTGTATAACCCTTCTAAATTTTTCTTTTTTCCCTTTAACATTTGTTTACCCCTTCACTGTGTCAGTCACAACACACCGCTCTTGAATCTCCCAGCTGGTCTTGACTTGTTGAATTTATTTTATGCTTTCACTCTTCTTTAATAAATACATTACTTGCAAGCAGTGAATTGAAAACAAAGCAAAAGAAAAACTACCATTAGTGATTGGACAGTTTCTTACTTTGTGTTACATTTAACTGTTCTTTTGACAGCCCAGTTTTTAAAGCCAGGTTCGTATGGAAATGCTTTCACTCCACTTGCACTGCTTTTGGAAATAGCATACTGCTTCATTTGTCTGTTTATTTTAGTGCATTCATAACACAACACAGTCAGCACAATGTCTCATCTCCACGTAGCAAAAGATTGCAAAGTACTCCTTGTCCTTTTTTTGAAAATGCAGCCATTTTTGTCAGCACCAGCCTTTAAAATCCGATTCAGTAATCCTTTGTCAGATACAGTTGCAATGCTAATGGTAGAATAATTAGTGCGTTATCCGCAAAACCTTTGAACTTTGGGCCCCTTTTGCATGGAGGACTGTGCAGTTGTTGTGGCCGTTAGAGAAACGGTCTGCAGCAGATATGTTTGCAGGTAAGTTTTCCTACGCTTCTGAACTGATAGTCTTCTCCATGGTGTTTGTGGTTGGAATCCATATTTGTTCATTTTTCCTTTTTTTGCATATACTGATTTAAGCTTTTATAACCAGACATTTCCTTACTTCTCCTTTTTTTATTTTTTTTTCCATGTAGCCCTAATTATGTCCTGGGGGAGAGCCGGTAGTGTGGGAAAAATGTACACTGTTGTCTTGAAAAATACAGTGAGATGAAATGTCTTGCTTTACCGATATATCAGAACAAAAAATTTAAATTTATACTTGATAGAATCTTTTTGAGGAAAAATGTATCCATGCAGCCAATATCTTTGGGAAGATTGTGTCTTTCAAGTTGATTCACCAAAGTTCTGCAAACTGTGTGGTCATTTTCTTCAATGTGGAGTGAGTGAAAACAACACTGCTATTCTGATTTCTGTTGACGACTTGGTTATTTAATTAAAGAAACCTGCAGCATATATATCTTTTTTTTTTAAAGATTCCATGTACCACTCAATGTTATGGATTCACAGCCTTTTATAATTCAGGATATTTCTGTGATATCTTGAGTTGTGGTTTGCCTTATGACAATTAATAATCAACAAATACATATCTGATTTTTATTTTTATTTTTCATGATTAGAAGGTGAACACGGTCCTAACCGAGAGTCCTTCTTTGAGGAGTTGACAGTTGGTCACTGCTAGTAAACTGGTAAACTGATTGATAAGGGATAAGCTGTCAGCTTTAGATGGTTACAAGGGTGCCGTTAGCGCTCTTGTTCTTTGTTTGGGGGAAGAAATCTTGCATGAAAACATAATGAACTCCACGCAGAGCCCTGCTCAGCCCTATTTTAAAAAGCTGACACTTAATTGCTGCGTCAGTACTTTTCCACTTATTCTGAAATAGCTTTTTTTTTTTTAGGAAGATGAGACATTATGCTTATTGTTTCCCCTACATGCACTAATGGTTCCTTGCTGTTAACTTACTGCTAGGCCTGTTTCATTCTAACATCTTAGTATTTTTGTTAGTTTACACGTGAAATGCATCACCCAGTCTGTGCTTGAGCTCATTTTATTTAATTGATTTTTTTTTTGTTTTACTAACCTCACTGTTTTTTCAGTTTAATATTGGCTGCATGCTAGTTTATATATATATATATACATATATAAAAAAACCCAATCAAGTCTAGCCTGGATTTTGCTATGATTGTGTTTTGGTTTCTAGTGGTGGGGCAGTCTTGCACTTACAACTTACTCAGTATTATAAAAGCCTGACACACAAACAAAATGACTAAACACATTGTAGATTTTCTTTACGAAAAATCTTAAGTGGTGCTGTCTAGGTGATGGATATGATTGTATAAATAGCTTGATTTTATGCTTTTTACTGTCAATTTTTATTGGTACACTTTCTTTTCTCCCACATTGCTTTTTTTTTTATTTTATTTTAAACGTGATGCACAAAAGTTGCCCAGCACACCATCAGAAAGTGACCGTCCCCGATACCCCATCCCCCTGGAAAAATTCTAGCCAGCAATTTTTGACATTTGTCTTTCCCTTTTATTGGGCATATATTGCCTTTTCAGTAGCATTTTTTTGCATGCATATATATGTAGAAAATCTCTTGCTCATCACATGTTTAAATGTCAGCGGGAAGGGAAGAATATATTATTGGAATATTTTTGGTTTGTTTTCTCTGTTCTGTCTGTCAGGATAATATTGGACACCGCTTACTCCAGAAACATGGGTGGAAGCTGGGCCAGGGATTGGGAAAGTCACTGCAGGGTAAGTCCAGCAGCTTGTGTCTGAAACATTCAACACCAGCTTCAGTCTTTAACAAAATTATTTCTGCTTTTTGTTCCTAGATTAGATTTTCTTTCCATTATTAATATAGCCAAACAAATGCACTGTTGAGTTTCATATTTAGCAATTTGCAAGTGGAAGCTGCTGCCTCACTTATTGGTACAGGTTAGACATGATGTGTGTGTGTCGTGTATGTGTAAGAATCACCGTGTTTGGCCTTTTTGGAGGGAGGTGAATTAACTGCCTACTTACTAACAGGTAGTTGTGCAGCTTCTAAAACTATAATGGTATTCTGCTGGCTGGATGCTTTGATATTAAAAGAATTAAAAACACAAGCTAGTTACGATGAACTGCGTGCATGTTTCACAGTGGTGTCAGAAGCCATTAGAAGGCGGGTAAAAGGGCCCACTGAAGACCGAAAGTGGTGGCAGAGGTTCTCATGGATGGGAGAGGCTCACTTCTAGTTTCTCCAGAGGGCTTTCATGGGTTTGACTTATTTCTGTTACCCAGCAGTCTATTTGTCAGGGATTTAGCAAATCTCCTTGAGATGCCGTAGTGCTAGTTGAACCAATGCACCTAGTCCTCGTGCTGTCTTGAGCCTAAATTCTTCCCGTCACACCAAATCCCGTGATTTAAATTGAGCCAATGCTGCCCAGTTCATGTGGGTGGCTTTAGCCATTCCCCTGGCCAGTAGCTCCTGCTCTGCGGAGGCCCTAGCCGGGGTGAAAGCACACAACCATGTTATGTTGAGCAAAACCGAAGGTAGTGCTTCCTATCCGTTACTTCTTTATGAACTGCCTGTGTATATGGTGTCTGCCTGTGATACTGGGAGTGAGGTGCTCGGTATTTACAGCAGGCACGAGACTGTGCCCAGGCAGTTTCTGTAGAAACCTCTTGAAATGTTTGAAACTCAAGCGCGTCCTGAGTTCCTCCGAGTAACTCGTGTTCCCATACCCTTAGTCTGAAGACCTGGGAGCTTGTAATTGGACTTCCATGCCCCTACAGTGAGCCCATTAGAGAGATAAGTATTTCTGTGCTGTGGAGGACTGTTGAGAGGTAATGAGTTCTCTGAACTCTGGGAATGCATATTAATCTGTTGGACTACGGCACTCTAACTTCTCAGACAGGACTGCGTTGGTGGTTAATGCTTCTTGCTTCCTCTAACATGGTTTCATTTGAAATCCTCTGGTTAATGCATGGCACTCTTACAGTCCTCTTGTGTCCCGTGCTGGTGCCAAAGCTCAGGACGTGGTTGTAGTTGTCACTTCTTGGGCTTCTGCTTTGGCATGGCGTTCACTGGATGTGTAATTTGGTCTGTTTTCTCTTTTGGGTGCCCTGTATTGCTCTGTGCGTCACCAATGTGGAAACACGGAGACTTGAAAGAAGCTAAAGCCCTCTCCCAGCCCCAGCTGGATTCAAAAGCACAGCCCCGAGGGGCCCTGTGCCATGTGGTGTTGCAGGCACTGACGTGACGATGTAAACAGCAGATGACTGTACAGTCTTGAGTTTGGGGCAAGAGGGCGGTGTCACCGTGTCCTGAGGAGGAACGAACTAGGGCTGCCTGTGGGGTTGATCAGGCATTTGCATTTGGATACTTGTCCAGATTTAGATTTTCCCACTCTGCATTTTGAAGTGTCGAATCTGTACCATATCTCTTACGTATTATTGAAGCTCTGGTGATTTAAACTGTCTGGAAAGCTACAGACAAATCGTGGGTATGGGCTGTGAGGGTTTTCCTGTGTCTCCCGCATTTTAATAGAGATGCAGGAGTAAAAATAGCCCGTCTAGTTTAACCCAGGTAGGTGCTGAAACCTTCCTAATGTGTGCTTTGGAGAGTGAGCAGGAATTGCGTAGTGCCTTTCACCTTCTGGAAGGAAAGCAGCGCCTGTCCTTCTGACAGACAGACAAACAGCCTCTCCGGCCGAGGTGCCGGGGAGGCAGGGGATGCGGAGGAGTGCAGCTGCTCCAGTTCTGCTCAACATAAAGACATCAAGGGCGCTCCCTCTTAGTTATGAGCAGCTAGAGCCTGTGCCTGTTGCCTGCGGCATTAATGATGGTCATGTTGGGAGTGTTTAATTCATTATCCAGTGACCTTTTTACATGAATCTTAGATCGTCCCAAAATCCGAATATAAGCTGCCAGGAGGGAAACATTTGCATCTGATTTTAATCTTATTCTAGGAGTTTGAAGAGTGAAGTCACTTGATGTGCACCGAGAATGGAAGAGCAAAACAAAAAAGTTCTTCCCCTCTTCCACGCTCCCTTCTTGCTCAGAAAAGACCAGGAGAGATTTCTGAAGAGATGTAAGAATAGCAGATGCAGAGCATCTCTGTTGTGAGCTCTACTTGCTTTGTGCTGTGCTTGAGCCTAAGACCTTAAACAGCCTACGGTTTAGAGGTACAGCAGAAGTAGAACCACTTCAAGTAGGCCTTAGCTGTGGATATGGTATCTGACCTCCTGCAGAAGGCCTCTGCAACAAACCCTCAAAAACCTAAATTTTGGTTTACATATATGGAATTAATATGGCATTCATCTTTTTTCCATGCAGTTGACTTTAATTTAAAAGGAAGTTGATGAGTTCAGCGTGCCTATTTTTGTTATGTAGCTTCTAATTCTAGATGTTCACCTGAACTGGGGCTCCCTCTTTCATTTTGGTGAATCTAAAAGTTATGCTACGTTATACTTGCCGGTCATAAATGCTTATTTCTTCTAGTAAGGCCGTTATGTTGTTGTTCAACAAGAACTTCACGCTGCAGGACTGTGCCGTTGTGATGCTTCCTTTGCGTTAACTACCCACTGTGGATATAATCCAGCGGTGAGAGTGCTGAACTGTTTCTCTGGATGGTAGCTGGAGTAGCCCAAAATTCACACTTGCCAGTTGCTGGTGGTAAAAAATCTGCTGTTGGTAGTACAAAGGTACCCAGCAGATTGGCTCATTCTCTGCAAAATTTCAGAAGCGGAGTAGTTTTGTACCTGCTGGGGCTGCTGCCTTGCGGTGTAACTCGTTCACCATCGTAGCAGGCATCTTTGTAATGCTGGCGGAAGAGCTGAGCTACTTGCGTAAGACAGCAAGTAATCCATGTCCTTAATGACACAGCTGTCATAAGAGGAGCTGTTATTCTAACTGTCACACATCTGCATCTTTTGTTGTATTTTAGATGCCTATTGAGTGGAGTATCAGACAGGGATAGCACTGTCATCTCCGGCCATGCAAGTGCTGGAATACTGGTTCGGAGAAGCTCATAATGAATTCAGCAGAGTCCTTCCTCTGCTCATCTCTTCTCCTGATGTTTTTCACATTTTTTTCCACAAACAACTTGTGTTATATTTGGAAATGATGTTTCAACTTGCTAACAGCCAATGAATATGAAAAAGCAGAAGAGGGGGTTGCCAGCTGACAGGGAACTTTTTTAATCTGGAAAGTATGGCTTGGGGAACTACTTTTCTGTAGAGATTGTGTGGTGGTTGTGCTCTAACAAATGGGAAAATGGTGACTGTAGACCGTTTTCTCTTTGGAGGGGAACATGTGTAATTGATAATCTAGAAATCTGTGGCCTACTGAAAAAATAAAACCAGCAAAAGATGTGGTTAAAAACTGTCTGACCTTCGTGTGAAATCCTGTGCTAAATGAGACTGAGGATTGTGAATAAATCAGAGGCGTTACATAAGAGTCAGAAGGGGAATGAGAGGGCTGAGCGAAATCTTGAATTCAAATACTCTAATGCTTTCTTTTGGAATAAGTATTTCATATTAAGTTAAAGTAGTATTATGGAAAGCATTGAGAGATTGACATGCAGAAGTGGTATAATTTTAATCATACGTTTGAAAATATTTTTATAAGCTCTTCACATTTTGCCTGTGTTTTCAATTTTTTGACAATTCTTGTTTTAAAAAAAACCCTAATTGTGCTGAAAACTCCTGTTTTCTCTTTTGGACTTGTGTGTTTAATATGAGGTAGTAGTACTCTAGAGGTATAGGTGCACAACTAAAACCAGTAGTTTAATTTCATTTTAATTAGACTAGGGAAAACTGAACAGAGCAGGTGAATGCTATCCTTAAGAAAGACAAAGGCTATTAACTTGCTTTGCCAGAAAACACGGGAATATGTGACTTCATTTGATGCACTCAGGAAGAGGATAACGTGAAGGGGACACAGTGAAGTGACCTAGCATTTCAGACTGGCTGATGTTTTAATTTGGCTCTCTTGAATTGGTCATCTAGCTCATTTGAGGAGTCGCAGCCAAAGAATTAGATGTCTCTCTGGGATGAGGTCAGGACTACAGCGTGTGTGCGGCAGGGAATATCTGATAAATCTGGACGGGGTAGACTTGATAGCTAAAAGCAAGCAAGCAGGCTTTAAGGGGTAGTTAATGCCCCCATCTCTGATACTGCTGAGCTAATTCACAGCCATCCGCCCGTTCTCATGGTTATCCTGCTGCTTCTGCTGTCGTAGCAGGGGCTGTGGAGGGAAGGAGGGTGGGCAGCCCCGAGGGGATGGTTTGCTGCAAATAGAGGTGGTTTGGAGAGTGCAGACCGGTCTGTTAGGAAGGTTTGTCTGATGTTCACCGGTCATACGGAAGGGACTCTCAGGAAGGATTGACCAGCTTTGGTGGACAGGTAGAACTCATACTTAGCTAGTCACCCCGTGAGTGAGTACTGGGTAATAACTGTAACTATTCAACACACTTTTCTAGATTTGCCTTTTTGAAGTCCTCTCTTACAGAAATGTGTTTGACTGCAGCCTTGACACTTCAAAAATTGCTCCAACACCTGTATGGAAAGCAGTTAAGTTTCCTTATACCACCAGCTATTTCCCTTCACAGGCAGTGTGTAGTGTGTATTTAATTTGACACATCTAAAGGCATTGATTTAATTCACGTTCCCACAGTACTCCCAAGACTGGGATTATCCTGGTCTTTTGTGTTATCTTGAAGTGAATCAGAAACTAGTATTTTGCTTTGGCAACAGACAACATGTTTTTGT